GGGTCCTGGCACTCTCCTCCATGCTCTGCATCCCCTGCACTGTTATCTACAAGCTCCTGCGCTGCAAAGGCTCCTTGCGCGAGGTGAGGGCAGTGCAGCGGGATCACTCCCGCCTCTGTCCCCACCCCATTCTCAGCCATGGTTGTCCCCTTCTTAGTCCTGTCCATGGCCCAGTCCCGGCCCCAGTCAAATTCCACCATCCACATTGCCATCTCAGTCCCTTCCACCACCAGATCCCATCCCTGTCTTTATCACTGTCTGATTCCCATTCAAATCCCACCACTATCCACGTTGCCATCACAGTCCCATCCACAACAAGGTCTCACCCCTGTTTTCATCACTGTCTCATTCCCATCCAAATCATGTGCCTGTCCCCATTGTCTCACTCCCACCCAAATCCCATCCCTGTCCCCATTGCTGTCTATTCCCAATCTTACCTGATTCCCACCGATGCTTACATCACTGTCTCAGTCCTATCCCTATCCCTATTGCAGTCAGATCCTGTGCACGTCCCCATCACTGTCTCCTTTTAATTCCTGTCCTTCTCTCAATCTCATTTAGTCCTTTTCCCATCTTAGACTCGCCCCATCCAAGTCCTCTTCCTGTCTTCATTTCTCTCACTCCTTTCAGATTCCTATCCTCACTGCTGTCTTACTCCCAGCCTCACCCAAACCCCATCCTTGCTGACATCACTGTCGTAATCCTGTCAGTCTCAGTCCCATCCCTGTCCCTGTGCAATCTCTCTCCCTTTCTCAATCCCATTTCAATCCCTTTCCTGTCCCAGTCTCACCTCCACCCCCACCCAAATCCCATCCCTTTCCTCTCCCTGTGCATTGCTGGGTCCAGGCAGTCCCAGTGCCGTTGTCTCTGGGCGCTGACGCGATGTCCCCACAGCGCTGGCAGCTCCTGACCACTCCAATCTGGGGCCAACACCACCTGGAGTACCTGACGCCAGAGGCAGAAGCCAAGCTGCTGGCCCCAGAGCCCCCCAAGGAGAAGGCGACGCTCTTCGAGACTGTGATCTGAGCGTGGGGAGGGTCGCGCTGCTCCCGCCCGCCATAGCAATAATGCCAGCACCGCCTCCCACCCACCCACGCTGCCCCGTGCCCCCCGCGCCGCCCCGGCCGCCGGCCTCGCTCAGGGGGAGAACACAGCGAGCTGGGGGGTGCTGGGGGCCACGGAGCCAGGGCAGCCACGGGGCACAGGAGGGGTCCCCGGCGCGGGGGAGCGTGGCAGCCCGGGGGAACGGCAGGGAGGCCGCCGGCTGGGGGAGCGAGTGGGACAGCCCTTCCCTGGCCCCTGCCCGCGGCCCCCATGGCCCCCCACTCACTAACTGCTTCCCGTAGCGTTTGTCTGGTGTAACCCCAACCGCCCCGACATCTGGCAATAAACTGGGAGACCCTGGCAGTCCTGGCACTGCAGGCAGGGGAAGTGGGGCACCAGCAGCGGACAACTGAGGGGTGAGGTGTGGGGTGGCACTGGCCTTTGGGGGAAAGAGGTTTGAAGGGAATAGGGTTCAAGAATTCAGGGATGCCTGGGTTCCTCTCGCCGACTTGTGGGGTACAGGCTGTTGGTGGAGCAATGGGGTCTCCATCCTTCTCCACCACAGGATGTGGGTGCCTGCAGGCTGTACCAAACCCTGGTGGGACCGGGGGTCCCCATGCAGCCAAGGGCTGGCCTTGCTTATCAGCTCCAAGAGGCAGATTTTAGCCCAGAGGCTTTGAGGGTTTTGACTGTCCCCAAGGGGTGGGTCAGGGTCCAGCTGTACCCCACCAGGAGCTTTTCATATCAGCCTTGTGCCTCCCCACTCCATGCACTGTGCCTTGGGAAAAACCCTGGGCTGGTGAGGGCTGTGTGGACAAGTGGATGAGGCAGCTTCTGGGCATGTAGCCAGAAGTCAAAGGCTTAACCTTGCCCCAGAAGCTGTGAGCTGCCTGAGCCCTGTTTCAGCAGGGTGCCAGCTAGCGAGTGCACGTGCCCTGTGCCCCACAGCAGTAGCTCCTGGGGAGGCCAGCTCCAATTCATGCCATGGCAACCTTCATGGAGCCCGGAGGAAACCACCAGCATGCTGGAGTGGCAGCTTGGAGTGGCTGTGTGCCAAAGCCTCGGTTTGATGTCAGTGTCCTGCTGTGCCCAGCATCCCACCCCAGCAGTGCCTTGGGCACCCCACGAAGCGACAAGGGGGAAGAAGTGTTCCCATCTGCCCCAGCCATCCTCAGAGACTGGGCTGGAGCAGTGCCACCATGCCAGGTGTCCATATCCAATTGCTGGGATAACCAGGGTTCAGAGGCTCTTGTTTTGGGGCGCCGGCTTGCCCCACCACGATGCCCTCTCACCCTGGTGGGGTGAGCCAGCAGTTCCTGCCCCACCGGCGATGCACACTGTAATTAGCGCGGGCAGGGCGGAAGCATCACTGATAATTGGCGGTGACTCTTTAGCAGGAGCCTCACGTGCCTGGGGCACGGCAGGACTTTCCGGCAGGGCTGGTCTGTGGGACCGGCTGGCATCCCGGTGTGCGGGGCCTGGCTGACTCCCCAGCACCAAGTGGGGACAAGGGTTGGGCTCAGGGTGCGGGGGTGAGCACTGTCATCGCCTTCGCTTCGTGCCACAGCACGCCCTGGTCCCACCATCCCTTCCTAAAAGGCACAGCTGCAGGGTGCTGCCAGCACAGACGGTGAGAGCACGGGGCCCAGGCAGCAGGTGGGCAAAGGAAAGGCAGAAGACAAGAGTTAAAGGGGTGCCAAGGTTTGCCTTTGCTTGCTGGGCTTTCCTCAGGGGTCTCCTGTAGCACCCCGTGAGCCCATAGGAGGGGACGTGGCCCCTGTTGTGCCCTGGCAGGGGCAGGCACCCACAGCGCCATGAACCGGATCACAGTGTACGAGCGCGCCAACTTCGAGGGGCTGAGCCGAGAGTTCACCTGCGACGTGCCTGACCTGCACGAGCTGGATTTTGGGAACTGCATCGCCTCCCTGAAGGTGGAGGGGCAGCCATGGATTGCCTACACGGACCCCAAATACGAGGGGGAGCCGTATGCCTTTGAGGAGGGCGAGTACCCCTCTGTGGATCGGCCCAACAGCTTCTCGGCACTGCGCCTCGTGCACCACGACCTGGGGGACCCCCAGATCACCCTCTACGAGCACCCCAACTTCCAAGGTGCCTGCAAGGTGGTGACAGAGGAGACCAACTTGGCGTATGGGTACTTCAACGACCGGGTGGCCTCCCACACAGTGCAGCGAGGGGTCTGGCTGCTCTACCAGCACCCCGGCCGGGGCGGCTGGCACTGCCTGGCGTGGCCCGGTGAGCACCTCGCCGACTACAAACTGGAGCTGAACTTTCAGTCTCGGCTGTCCCACCTGCGCCCGCTACGGCCTGGGCGGCCCCTGGTCTCAGCACGTCTCCTCTGGGAACAGAAGCGGGTGGAGGAGGAGCGGGAGGTGCTGGTGGATGAGATTGAGGGGGTGAACGAGACCGAGTCAGAGCAGGCGCTGGCGGCCAGCAGCAGCCGGGAGTACGGCACCACACTCTGGCAGAGCTTCCACTTCAGCAATGCCACCAGCCTCAAAGCTGGGCTCTCCTTCACGCTTACCGTGGAAGCCTCCAACATCTTCACGGTGCAGAAAGGGCGCAGCGAAAGCAGCACTCGCCGGCAGCGCGTGGAGGTGCAGCTGCCGGCCAAGATCCCCCCGCGCACAGCGCTCAGCATCCAAGTGCTTCGGAAGGAGGTGACGCTCTCCGTGCCGGTGCTGCTCACCATCACCCAGAATGAGAGCGTGCGCACGGAGATGGGCGAATACCGCAGCGTCTCAGGTACCAATGTCAGTGCCCGCTATAGCTTAAAGCCACTGCCAGCTACGGGCAGGGAGCAGGCAGCCACCAAGGGGACAGACACAGTGCCTGGCACCAGGATGGAACTATAGCTCTCTGCCGGTGCTCAGCCATGGCTGTTCCCTCCGTGGTGTGGGACTCACTGTGACACCAGCGTTGATTCCAGCACCCACCCATGGAGGAGCCAGAACCTGCCTTGTCTGGTTGTGTCTGGTGGCTCTGGCTGGCAGGACCTGCTAGTGCCTCCTCCCACCTCGTATTTCCAATAAACCCCCTTCCACAACCACTCGAGTCTGCCGCTACTCGGGCTGAGGTGGGAGTAGGATGGATGAGACACTGGGCTAGGGGGGCACTGAGCTAAGAGGAGACACCAAGCTGGGAGGTGGATATCGGGTTGGGGCAGTGACTCCCGGGCTGAGGCAGAAAACGTGGGGTTGTGGAGGACACCCGGGGGCACCGGGCCGGAAGAGCTGGAGTATACCAGGCTGGGGAAGCTAGCGGGGCAAAGGGAGAGCTGGGGACACCAGACTGGACAAGACATCAGATGGGGCGAGGGGTGGGGCAGGAGGACACTGGGCTGAGGCAGCCAAAGTTCCACCGGTCTAGGGAAGCCTGGGGACATTGGGATGAGGGGTGTACTAGGGCAGCGAGGGGGACAGGGGAGATGAGAAGAGGGCGGACACTAGGTTGGCAGGGCCAAACGACCACGCACAATCCGGGGGAGCCGGGGACGCCGAGCCGGCCTAGCCCTGCATACACCGTGCTGAAGCCGCCACCGCGACGCGCTCTCCACCCCAGGACCTTGGGCACGTGTATCCCCAGGGGCTCGCCGCACGGCCCGTGCCCGTCGGGGCAGACAGAGACGCACAGGGCACACCGGAGGTACGGGCATCAGCCGCGGAGCGCGGGGGCGCCGGGCGGGATCGGAGCCCGCCCCGCCCGGGGCCCGCCTTCAGTCCCGCCCCTGGCCCGCCTCCAGTCCCGCCCCTGGCACCGCCCCCCACGTGGTCGCCGCCGCCGGTCTCTTTAAATGATGCAACCGCCCGCGCGCTGAGCCCGCCTCCCGCGCGCCCATTGGCCCGGTCCGCGCCGGTTCCCCGCCTGCCATTGGCCGGCACGGAGCGCTCTTACTGCCGGTTGGCTGGGCACGGCCCCGCCCCCGGACGGAGGCGGCAGCATGGCGGCGGCGGCGGCAGCGATGGCGGCGGAGGAAGTGGAGGAGGCGCTGGGGCTGTTCACGGGCATCGGCCTCAGCGAGGCCAAGGCGCGGGAGACGCTGCGCAACGGGGCACTCAGCGCGCTGCTGCGCCGGGCTGTGCTGCAGGTGCGTCCGCCGCGGGCCTGCACCCTGGTCCCGGTCCTCGATCTCCAGTACCCCGTCACCCCGATGTCACCTGGGGACCCGGCCACCCTGGAAACTCGGTACCCCGGTATCGGTGTCACTCGGTAACCCGATCTCCGGTGTCACCTGGGTACATTGGCACCGTGGTCCCGCTGTCACCCCCTCGACCCCAGCCTTGCCGGGATCCCCCAGCCTCCCGGCCCTTGGCACTCCCCTGTCCCGCTCTGTCCCCCGGTGCCGCCGGTTCGCCGGGCCTCGGTCCTGTCCTGATGCTCTCCGGGGTGGTGACAGGCTCGGAGCGCGCTGGGCCCGGCGCTGGACAAGGCCACCGGGACACTTCTGTACAACGCGGCCGCCCGCCTCAAGGACCCGAAACACCTCGGCTTCCTGGTCGGCTACATCGCTCGCAAGGAGATCCTCACCGACCTGCAGCTCAGCGGTACCGTGCGGCCCTGTCCCCGCCCGGTCCCGGCCCCGCGGGCACCGTTCTTCATCCCTGCTCTGTCCCCAGCTGCCCTGGAGTACGTGAGGAGCCACCCCTTGGAGCCCCTGGACGTGGCAGACTTTGAGCGGGCTTGCGGTGTGGGGGTCTGCATCACCCCCGAGCAGATCGAGGAGGCGGTGAGTGGGGCTGGGACCCTGTGGAGACAGCACAGGGGACATTGGACTGGCTCCTGCTGTGCTCCTGCCTGCCTCACTCACCCTGGGATCCCTGTGCTCCTCCCAGGTGGAGGCTGTGATCAACAAGCACCGAGCAGAGCTGCTGGCAGAGCGCTACCACTTCAACATGGGGCTGCTGATGGGTGAGTGGTGACACCGGGGCAGCCCCTGCCTGGTGCTGGTGGCTGTCACGTCCCTGTGCCTGACTGCCAGTGCCACTGTGCTCCCCTGAATCCCGAGAGCCAGCCCTTTGCCATGGGGAGATGTCATCCTGCCAGATCCCACACACAGGCAGGGCCGTAGTGCCCAGCAACAGGGACAGCCCTGGGGCAAAGGGTGTGGCATTCTGCATCAGCTCCCTGGCTGAAGCTCCCCCGGGCTTGGGCACTGCCCCTTGCCCACGGGGTGCCCTGTCTGCAGGGGAGGCACGGAGCCAGCTGCGGTGGGCAGACGGGAAGACCATCAAGAACGAGGTGGACCTGCAGGTGGGTGTGAGGTTACTGTGTCAGGTGCTGCTGTCGTCCCCTGGGTGTGCTGTGACCTGTCAGCCAGTCCCCTAGAGGGCCCAGCCCTGGGGACAGCCTGCCCCACCTAGGTGCAGGCAGAGTGAGTGGAGTGATGACTGGACAGGACACTAAGACACACCTAGTCCAGGAGCCTTTTTGACTCCTGACTGTGTCACTCTTCTCCAGGTGCTGCATTTGCTTGGGCCAAAGACAGAAGCTGATCTGGAAAAGAAACCAAAGGTAAGGAGAAGGGGAGGCTGCAGACTTGGATGGTATTTCCTTGCCAAGTGTCCTGACAGGATCCCAAATAGCTGCTCTGCCACCATGGGTACAGGTCTAGAGGGAGCTCTGGGGCCAGCAGGCTGGGCCAGGAGGGGAAGGTATGTGCTGCAGCTGGGCATTCAGCATGCTGTGCTGGTCTCTGCAGGTGGCAAAGGCCCGTCTGGCCCCAGCAGAGAAACAGAGGGTGGCTGTGGTGGAGAATGGTAAGAGACTATCCTCTTCCCCAATCCTTTAGTTCCTGCTGGACCTGCTTCTGAGCTGGGCCCTGGCAGCTGTGATCAGGGAGCTCAGCCCCATCTCCCTGCAGGTGACATGGGCACAGAGACAAAGTCACTGCTGGAGCAGCTGCGAGGAGAAGCCCTGAAGTTCCACAAGCCAGGTGAGTGCGAGGTGCTGCTGCCATATATGGGGCCAGTCCACTGGCTCTGCCTGGTCCCAGCTCTCCGTGCTGCAGAGAACTGGACAGGTCCTGTGTCCTTCCCCCCTGGCTGCTGGGCTTGGCAAGGTTAGGGCACTGCTGCAGCCCTGAGCATCCTCTGCCTGCAGGAGAGAACTACAAGACTGAGGGCTACGTGGTGACACCCAACACTATGGCCCTGCTGAAGCAGCACCTGGCAATCACGGGTGGGCAGGTGAGGCCATATCCCACAGCCCAGCAGTTCCATGTGACAGTGACACAGCTGGGGTGGGTGGGGAACACACAGCTCACAGGGGGCACAGCAGAGGCAGCACCCACACAGCACAGGGTGCTCTGCACGATTGCCGGGGGCTCATGTCAGTGTCACTGCTGTCAGGGAAGGTAAAGATCTCCTGCTGAAGGAGAGAAGTGTCCCCTTTGCCTCTTCAGGTACGGACACGCTTCCCTCCTGAGCCTAACGGGATCCTGCACATTGGCCATGCCAAGGCCATCAACTTCAACTTTGGTTATGCCAAGGTAAAAAGCACCAAGCCACCCTGGCCCCTGCCTTTCCCTGCTGCTTGGCTGCTGGTCCCTCAGGGAGCAACTGCTCACTGTCTCTTCATCCCCAGGCCAATGGTGGTGTGTGCTTCTTGCGCTATGATGACACCAACCCCGAGAAGGAGGAGGAGAAATACTTCACAGCCATCCGGGAGATGGTGGAGTGGCTGGGTATGGCTCAGGGCAGGGAGGGCAGGTCTAGCTAGGTGCCAGGGACACCCCTGCATTCAGGTCTTGCTGCTGGACCTTTGGCGCTCCTCCAACCTGTTCCATTTCACCCATCCCCACAGGCTACCAGCCTTATGCAGTGACACATGCGTCGGATTACTTTGACCAGCTCTACACCTGGGCCCTGGAGCTCATCCGCAGGTGAGCATGTGGGGCAGTAGGAATGTGCTGGGCTGGTGGTGTTATCCTGCACTGTGGTCAGGGCTCCCCCTTGCCCAGGAGAAGGGTCACTCAAGTCTGGTGATGGCATTTCCTCTCCGTAGGGGTCAGGCATATGTCTGCCATCAGAAGGTCGAGGAGATCAAGGGCCACAACCCACCACCCTCGCCATGGCGGGACCGGCCTGTGGAGGAGTCACTCCTGCTCTTTGAGGTACTCCTAGCTGGGGCAGGTGCTGTGTGCCTGTGGGCTCTGGATTTGTGGCTCAGCTGACAGCTTCCCCTGTCTCCACAGGACATGAGAAAGGGGAAGTTTGGGGAGGGGGAAGCCACACTGAGGATGAAGCTGGTGATGGAGGATGGGAAGATGGATCCCGTTGCCTACCGTGTCAAGTTCACTCCACACCACCGCACTGGGGACAAGTGGTAGGGAGGGCCTGCCATGTCCTGGCACATGTGGTGGGGCTGGATCTGGATCTCCTGGTAGTGAGGAGGTATCAGGAGTAGAGCAGCACCATGCTCTGCCCCGAGCTGACTCCATTTGCCTTGCAGGTGCATCTACCCCACATACGACTACACACACTGCCTCTGCGACTCCATCGAGAACATCACGCACTCCCTCTGCACCAAGGAGTTCCAGGCCAGGTGAGCACCATGCATGGCATGGCCCAGGGCTGAGCTAGACCTGGGAGCACCACCTGGTGGCTTCCAGAGTGCTGGGGGACAGTGTGTCCATGCAGCTGAGCTGGGCTGTGCCTGTACCTCCCTTGCAGGCGCTCCTCCTACTTCTGGCTGTGCAATGCTCTGGATGTTTACTGCCCTGTGCAGTGGGAATATGGGCGCCTGAACCTGCTCTACACCGTGGTCTCCAAGAGAAAGATCATCCGCCTGGTGGAGACAGGTGCTGTGAGGTAGGAGCAGGGCCAGCTGCCATGATGGGGCTCACCCACAGCATGCCTGGTGTCACACTGGTGTTTCCTCAGGGACTGGGATGACCCACGTCTCTTCACGCTGACAGCCCTGCGCCGGCGAGGCTTCCCCCCTGAGGCCATCAACAACTTCTGTGCACGGGTAGGCTTTGGGTGGGGTGGGACAGGGCAGATTGCTGCATCCCCTGGCCAGCATGGTCACAGCACGCTGTTCCTCAGGTTGGTGTGACAGTGGCCCAGGCGACAATGGAGCCACATCTGCTGGAGGCTTGTGCCCGGGAGGTGCTGAATGAACAGGCCCCCCGTGCCATGGCTGTCCTGGAGCCCCTCAAGGTCACCATCACCAACTTCCCTGCTCCAAAGGTGAGACTGCCGTGGGCTGTTGTGGGAGTGGGGTTCCTTGAGATCAGCATTCAAGCCCTCTTTCTCCCCAGGCACTGGAGGTCCTTGTGCCCAACTTTCCAGCCGATGAGAGCCGTGGTTTTCACAAAGTGCCCTTCCACCAGACCATCTACATTGAGGAGACAGACTTCAGGGAGGTAAGCCACGCCCACTGGGCTATACGACCCTCACTCCTGGAGCTATTCCTTGTGCAGCAGGAGCCTGGCAGCCCTGGAAGTGGTGTTCGTGCTGCACACAGAGGTCATTGGTGGGTGTTGAGCACCTGACTGTGACTCCCAAATGGGCCAGCAGCTCTGATGGGCTCTAGACATGCTAGAGGGGAACCTGCTGCCCATGCTGGGACCCCTCATGCAGCCGTGAACTCTCTTACAGGAGGCAGACAAGGGCTACAAGCGCCTGGCCCCTGGGCAGCCGGTGGGGCTGCGCCACACTGGCTACATCATCACTGTCCAGAATGTCATCAAGGTGCGTGGCTGTGGGCTGGGCTGGTGACATGAGGCTGGGCTGTGGAATGTCAGGACATGACCATGCCCCAGCAGGGAAGAACAGCTATGGTCATGTCATGCTGGCTGCTCTGGACATAGGGAGGGCTCAGGCTGCCTGTGTGGCTGCTGTCTGCCTGTCCTGTCCCTCACAGAGGGGAACAAGGTGTCCCCAAGCTGTGGGGCTGGGGGCTCAGCCCTGGGCCTGCCATATGGGATAAGACTGCTGCCTGACAGCTTAGCTTGTCTCCTCTCCCTCAGGACGTCAGTGGGCGTGTCATTGAGCTGGAGGTGACCTGCACCAAGTCAGATGTGGCAGAAAAGCCCAAGGCTTTCATCCACTGGGTGTCAGTGCCACTGGCCTGTGAAGTGCGGCTCTACGAACGGCTGTGAGTATCCCACTGCCAGCCAAGGCCAGCACAAACTCAGCAGTGCTGGAGCAGCAGCACAGCTGTACAGCAGCAGGCCCTGCTGGGGTCTGCCCCAGACCTTTGGTGGGGAAGATGATGCTCGGGGGTCCCATGAGTGGCACCCTGTTCCCTCATTTGGCAGCTTTGGGATAAGACTCTTATCTCATGGCAGGTTTTTGCACAAAAATCCTGAGGACCCATCAGAGGTACCTGGTGGCTTTCTGAGTGACCTCAACCCTGTGAGTAGTGGCAGCAGCTGGGGTTATGGGCCCGGGGGGGAAGTGGGGACCTCCTGCACCCACTTCCATGAACACCCTACCCCGCTTGGGGCAGGGCCTTACTGTGTCTCAAGGGGAAGAGGAGCTGGGGTGAGCTGGGCTGTGCAGAGGACAGAAGGGTAGGGCTGCTGGCTGAGCTGTCCCCCCTGCCAGGACTCCCTGCGTGTGGTGCACAATGCCCTGGTCGACAGCTCTGTCCGCTCTGCTCGGCCCTTTGACAAGTTCCAGTTTGAACGCCTGGGCTACTTCTCTGTGGATCCCGACAGTGAGGAGGGGAAGGTGAGCCCTGTGGCCTGGGGGCAGTGAGGCAGCCTGCACACACGTGTGCAAGTACCCCCTGCCCGCCATGGGGCTCTGAGCAGACCCTCTGTTTCTCCCCAGATGGTGTTCAACCGCACAGTGACGCTCAAGGAGGACCCTGGCAAGGCCTGAGGGATCTGCTGCTGCTACACCACCGTGGTGCTGCTTCCTTGGGGGTCCTTGCATACCCCCAGTGCCACCGTGCCTTGGTGCAGTCCCCTGGGGTGCCCCACAGCATCGCCTCAATAAACAGAGATCCCAGCCCTGTCACTGCACTGTCACTGCCTCCTGTTCTCCTGCTCAGTCTTAGCGTGCTGGGGTGGGGGTGGTCTCCTGTTTGTCCCCCTGATGGGCTTTGGCAGGGTGTGTGTGTGGGGTGTCTCCCTTGTTCTGGGGGCACAGAGTCTGCTCCTATCTGCTGTGTAGCACTGATGTGACCCCCACGGGAGCTGCAGCTGCCCCAGCCAGCACCATAAGGTTGGCCTGGGGTCAAGGGTGTTGAGGTGGAAGGGAGAGGTGTCTCCGGGAGGTGCAGGCAGGCTGGGCGGGTGCAGGGGCTGTGCAGCAGGGCACAGGGGCTGCAGGCGGGGTGTGCACACTGTGTACAAACACCGCCGGAGCGCCCTCCCCTCTTAAGGTGGACTCTAGCGGGGTGCTCCCTGCTCGGCCCCGGGCTGGAGTCAGGGCGGTGTCCCCACGGAACTGGCATGAGCCCCGTGCCCTGAGCCCCGTGTCTGTGCCCCTGCAGGTGAAGCAAATGCAGGGAGACCCTGCCCAGCCCCACGGGCCACCTTAAGCGGGGCCGGGGCTGGCGAGGCCGCGCCGAGCACATGGGCCCGTTAAAGCAGACCCGGCACGGTCCCGCGGGGCGTTCTCCGCCTCCATGGGGACACTTCGCTCCGCAATGCTGCCCGGGGCAGGGCGCAGCCCCTCCGCTACAAGCCGCGCAGGCCTCGGCGCCCTTCCCGGGGAGCCCGTCCGCCGGGTCCGGCCCCAGACGGGCGCGACTCGAAGCCTGGCCCCAGCTGCTGCGTGGGGATGGGGACCGGGCGGCACCCGCATGCCGCGAAGGAGCGGAGCGGCCGCGCGGAGCCTCTCGGCCGGCGTCGCTCCACGGCCGCGCGGTGCTGGTGGCGTCCCGGGTATCCCGACTGCGCGGGCTCCGTCCCTGTCCCTCCGTGTCCCCGCCGCGTTCCGGTGTCCCCGCGGCCGCACGCCCCTCCCGCAGGGCGCCCCCCAGCGGCCGCACCCTCCCCGCGCCCCGCCGCGGCCAGGCCCCTTTAAGGCGCGGGGCGGGCCTAGGAGCTGAGCTCTCGCGGGGCTTGGGAGCCGCGCTCTCGCGAGGCTGGGGCAGCGCCGTGATTGGCTGCAGGGGGTTGAATGTAAGATGGCGCCCAGGGAGCTGTGAGGGGAAAAGACTCGGGGCCGAGGCGGCGGCGGCGACAGGGCCGGGGTGAGGCGGGGCCGGGTCACGCCGCGGCGCAGCCGGGCCGGCGGGCCGGGGTAGTGCGCGGCGGCGGCGGGGCTGGGTGGGGCCCCCCTTCGGGCGCGGGAGGAGGAGGCGGCGGTTCCGGGGGCGGCGCGGGCCCGGCGGGGAGGGGGAGGGGGCGGCCCCGCCTGCCGCGCGCGCGCGCTTTCCTGGCCCGCGCGGGCGCGCCCCCCGCTCTTCCCCCCCCGTGAACCGGGCGCGTCCCCGTCGCCCCCCCCGCCCGGGCAGCGAGGCACCGGAAGGCGCGGCCTGTGCGCGGCCCTCGGCGGCCCCGTCCTCGCGGAGCCCCCGACATGGCTCCTGCCGGGGGGGCGGGGGAGGCGGTGTCACGGCGCCGCCTGCGGGCCCGGCCCGGCCGCCCCGCCGACAGACAAAGGCGGCGGGAGCGGCTGGGGCAGTGCCGGGTCCCCGCGGGCGGGGGAAGCCCCACGGGCTCCGCGTCCCCGCTCGGGCAGGACCGAGGCTGAGCTGCAGCCGACGTCTCAGGGCCTAAACACGGAGCTTCGCCTCGTCTCGGCTGGGTGGCCGAGCGGTCCGTAGCGTTCCCGACTGTCTCTCGAGGCATCACCGGGAACACCTGCGGGGGCAGGGGGTGGGGGGGTTGCCTCTGGATGCGGTCACTGCTGCTGCTGCCTTGTTCTAAGTTCTGTGTGCCAGTAACTCCGGTGTTACCCACCGTGCCGCGCCTGTCGCCGCACGGCGCTCTGTGACAGATGTGCTCGCACAGTCGTTCTCAGTACCACCAGGCTGAGGGATGATACGATGGTTAGAAATTGGGCATTGCAATTCCTCGCAATTCCAGGAGCTGCTAGCTGCGTGGATGATCATATCTTTGTTTCCTGATTTATTTTTTTTCTTAATGGAATACATATTAAACATAAAATGACTTAATAAAGAAAGAGGAACTGGGGATGGAAAGGGCTTCTTTGTTCTGTCTTCTCCAGAACGTTACAAGTCTAAGAGCTCAGGACAAGAGCAGCAGAAATACATGCAACATGGTGACTGGTGAGTCCAGATTGTCCACATGCTGCAAGTTGTGTGTGTGTTTTCAGTAACCTCAGTCTAAGTTTTATCAACTAACCGTATGTGCTCATAATCTTCAAAGAATTTCTTGAACTTACTTCTTGAAAAAATGCAGTTATGCTGCACAGAGAGGAATTATCTTCCTTTATTGGAGAAACTTATTGCCTGGATGCTCTTTTTTTAATTTTAAAATGCAATATTAAAAACATGCTGCTGAGATCCAGTGAGGGTGGACGTTTGCAGTTTCCAGCGTGTGTCTGTGGGATAAATGGAATGCACAAATTAGTGTGTTTTAATAACTAAAAGTAGTGACTACAGCAGCAAGCTGTATGTGTTGCCCTACAGAAGCCTGTTGAATGCACCCTAGAGCCTTACAGAGGTTTTCTGCCATAAATGCAGGTTGGTTTAGTTTTAATAAGTAAAATTTCTGGGGGTGCAGCATTACATTTCTGAATCTTTCTCTGGACCTGGTACCTCACTGCTGCACAGGGTCTTGGGAAGTGCAGCTTTGAGTGTTTCAGTGCTTCTAGTTAAATAATCTCAAGCAGCCTTAAAACTGATATGAATGAGAGACACTTTTACCTCCAGGGTCTGTAACTGCAGCTGTAGAGAAAACCCAAGGAAGATCTTGCTGATCTTCTGGGGCAGGAACAGATCCTCATGGCCTGGTGGGGCTCTGGTCCATGCATGGCACTTGGAATACTGCAGGGGTTCAGCTTAGTGGCTCTTAGTATAGTCACTTCAAGAAAATGTAAATGAATTTTTTTCCATGGTAGAAGAAAGGAAAGATATTTCTTCTGACAGAAGAAATTGTGATAGAGGAAGATTTGCTAGTAGGGGAAGACTGGCTTAGTAGGCTCTTGATTTTGATGCTAACAAGAACTAAATTAAATGGACCAGCTGAGTAGGGTCAAGGATTTGTATTTAAGAAAGCAGTGCTTGCTTTAAGATTTGTATTTAAGAAATCAGTGCTTGCTTGGTGGTCAGAAGAGGCTGGTGATTGGTGGTGGATCTCTGCTGCTTATGCTTCTGGGTGTCTTGTGGCTTTTGGTCTCTTACACAGGAGAATGATGTAGCTTGTGAAAGAACGGTTGGAGTTTCAAAAGTAGAAGTGAGGGCTAACAGCTCCCATTGGGAACAGTGGCCCTGCTGACCTCCTGACTTTCTCCTTTGCCAAGATTAACAGGAGGTGGATAGCTATCCCCTGAGTTGTTACAAGTACTAAAAACCAATGCAGGAGCAGGAAGGGAGCACCTGGGAGAGGTGAGCCCATCCAATTTAGCAGCAGCTGGCTGTCAAAGAACATCTGTGGCATTCATGTCTGGGATCCCAGCATGGCATCCTTGAGGCTTATTCTTCAAAAGAGTCTTCCCTCTCAAAGCTGTATCTGCTAGTGCCCCTCAGGGTGGACATGGAGAATGATGATGCTCTTCTGAAAGCCTCACTGTAGTATTGAAGTCAAATACTTGAAAGCTCCAAGCAGAAGACTGGGACAAGTTAATTGCTCAAAATCTGTTTTCCTCAGAGTATATAATGGAGCATCATGCAGTTAGATGCAAAACACATTTCAGTGTGCCTGCTGTCTGAGTCCTGAGTCCCTATGGATGCAATGACATTGTTGCTCTCCCTTGGTTTCACCCTGGCCATATGGTTACCTGGGAAGGGGTTAGCTATGTGTGCTATAGAGGTATAGAGTACTCTTGGGTAGCTCCTGGAGAAGTGAGTAATCTTACTGGCTCTGTCACCCAGAGTTGGCTTGAAAATGTCAGATTGGTGTCTCAGAAAGAATGTTTGTTCTGTACAGATGTGGGCTCTACAGGAGCTTCTGTATGCTGATATTTGCAGAGCTGTTGGATTTGCTATGTGAACACCATTATTTGTTGTTTTTTCCTAAAGAATGTTGTATATTTTAAGAATATCTTCTACAGAAATCTCATACAGCAACAAATATGTCTTAAAGACTTCAGAAACCATAAATAGAGCACAAGTTACCTCACGTGTGTTCCCGTTACCTTTGATAATATTTTTTTTCTCTTGTGAGCCTGGTCCAATGCACTAGCCATGAACCTCCATGTAAACAAAAACTGTATGTTTGTACTGCTGTCACATAACAGTGAAGAGGGGTTAGTGTTTGCTTCAGCTCTGCCAGGTTTTGGTGATAACTGGCACTGGACTTCCAGTGTACTTGAGTGCCAGTGAAAGCCTAGAGTTAACTCCTATTTTCACACAGGCTTTTGCAGCCTTAAGTTCAACGATAGCCCTGTCTCAATTCTACTTTGTTAAATCTTGGTGAAAGGATACCTAAAGCTCTGTTTTTGTACCTGTTCTCTTTAGACCTACAGTCATAATGTACATAGTGATGTCTGTCTGTGTTTCCTTCTTTATGCAGCTTGATCTAGTAGTGCTGAATCACCTCTTCTAGTCCTGATCTTGTGGTGTTTCACATCTTTTCACTACTGTCTCACTATCTGGTGATGTTATAGCTCAAATGTATTTATGCTCTATCAAGGCCAATTAGTGCCTTAGAAATAACCAGTATACTCACTGCAAAAACAATTTGTGGGTTTAAACAAGAGAAGTCAATAAGAGAAGAATGCTGTCAGAGTATACCCTAGAGCTGTCTGGTGTTCTCAGGTGGAGTTATCTTTGGTGGTGGTGGTTTTTTCTTTGCTTTCACTTCCGCCCTGATCATCTTAACTTCTTTTTCTGTCTTTCTGTTGTCTTCACACATGGCATGTTTCATGTTAACCTCTTCCTATATTAAAAGGA